CCTGTCTATACTGACACAGAAGATGCTTATTGGCTGTTTTATTTTCTTGAGAAGATGTCTGATCTTCTAAACCAGCATTCTCAACAACAAATTTGGGATATTGGTTAAATGCAACTGAAGACAAGTTGACATTCAAGCTTATTATGTCAAAAAACAAAGTATCTATTGAAACTTTGAATATTATTACAAAGGAGAATAATTCAAGTAGTTTTCTATTTTTACAAAAAACATTGTTGCTTAAGACTAAGACAACAGTAAATCTTCCTGAGCCATTCCATGACCAAATTTATGCCATTTTAAACGAGTATGGCTTCATATAGTTATATATTTATGATTCCATAAATGTAAATAAGTGTATCCTGTAGTATGGTCACCACAGTATGCTATAATACCTGTCACATTTCTTATCTGGTCAAATAATATTATATCCGTATGTATAATTACTTATTTCTACATTTTGTAATTTTATATTTTTATTTTAGCATTGGTATTTCTTCTTGGTATTTCATAGAGTACAGTTGTTTTTTGTTTATTGGTTTGACTAACTACAACAAAAACAAACAAAATGAAATGAAATATTGTAGAAAAACTGATGACCTGGTCGTGATGGTCAACAACTTGTGGCCAATTGGATATTGTAGGTTATCAAAATTAAATGTATTAGAGTTTGCCAACAACACCTGTTAATATTGGACCATAGTTGCACAGAATACTAATGCACCTATCAATGTTTAGCCCCATGGGGGGGCATACCCAGGGGAATTGAACACTGAAGATGCCACGAGAGGGGGGACTTTGACCATATGGAGGGGTTGCTATATGCTGCTTATCAAATTTTGGGAAAGCAAAAAGGTGCTTGAAAGGTGCCTAACTCTGCAGACTGGCCCTGGGGTGGGAAATTGACACTTTGTAGCAAAAAAAGTCAAGATCCCCTGGCCCTAGGTAAGACACCCCACCCTGGGGCTAAATTGATAGGTGCATAACCTGGTTGGGTCAATGAGCTAAGTCCTAACTGAAGCTATCACGGGAATTATTTCATTTTTACATCATTCATTTCAACAAATGTTTTAATTTATATTGTAGCTTACCTTGCGTCTCCGATGACGGCAACATATTAGTTTCAGACGAGTTCTCACTCTCGCCAGACATCACCCTACGAATTCCTTGATAATAATAAACATGGTTACTGTGTACCCTTTTCACGTTTGGGAAACACTGTCGAATCCACATTCTCTCTGAGAAATTGTATTAAATATTACGAAATTCAGCCTTAGGGCTGCGATGTAATTTTCCTTTAATAATAATAATAATAATAATATTGCCGTTTTTGGTGTTATTAGCGTTATTGCCGTTATTAGCGTTATTGCCGTTATTATACCGTTATTGCCGTTATTGGTGTTATTGGCGTTATTAATTGCCGTTATTAGCGTTATTGGTGTTATTGCCGTTATTGGTGTTATTGGCGTTATTGGTGTTATTGGTGTTATTGGTGCTATTGGTGTTATTGGCGTTATTGGTGTTATTGGTGTTATTGGCGTTATTGGTGTTATTGGTGTTATTGGCGTTATTGGTGTTATTTGCGTTATTGGTGTTATTGGTGTTATTGGTGTCAACACTACACAACCTATTACTACACACGTAACTATACAGTTTCTTGAAGAACTCCATCATACACAAACAAAACCCTTTTTACAAAAAATTTTATTCCAAACACACCACATGGTCGGCGGTTGTCCAACAAATTCCCAACTACCCCATCTGGTTATTTTTATTTCTATTTCTACGCCCCTTAATTTGCAATTAATTATTCAACAAATTACTCATTATGTTCCCCTTTTGCCCACATATACATAACGTCCTAATTTTTTTCTCTAGTTTGTTTAATTCAGACAATTGTTACAAATTAACTTATAACTATATAAAAACTACAATATGGTTCCAATTACCTATGTCAAAATATAAAATATACGTCACAATTGACGTAATGCGTGAAACATTTTATTTCCATGCAGAATCAAAGTTGTTCATTATATTTGTGGTATAATATATGGTATTGTGGAATGTTAAAGGAACCCAATTACCATGCACATTATTAGAATTCAATATCTCGGGGTGTATTTTCACGATATATTTAAAGCAAAACGACAGTCGTACCACACATTTCTAAGATTTACCATATATTTTCTAATATTTTCACGAAAATACGTTATTTGTTTAAAAATGGGGTGTATTTTCACGATATATTACAAAAAAACAACATTTGTACCATATATTTCCGAAATTTACCCCTCATTTTCTAATATTTACGTTAAACAGCTCATTTACTTAAAAATGGGGTGTATTTTCACGATATATTACACAAAAACAACATTCGTACCAAATATTTTTAAAATTTACCCCTCATTTTCTAATATTTACGTTAAACAGCTCATTTACTTAAAAATGGGGTGTATTTTCACGATATAATACACAAAAACAAACAACATTTCTAAAATTTACCCCTCATTTTCTAATATTTACGTTAAACAGCTCATTTACTTAAAAATGGGGTGTATTTTCACGATATATTACACAAAAACAACATTTGTACCACATATTTCCCAAATTTACCCCTCATTTTCTAATATTTACGTTAAGCAGGTCATTAATTTAAAAATGGGGTGTATTTTCACGATATATTACACAAAAACAACATTCGTACAAAATATTTCCGAAATTTACCCCTCATTTTCTAATATTTACGTTTTAAACAGGTCATTTAGTTAAAAATGGGGTGTATTTTCACGATATATTACACAAAAACAACATTCGTACCAAATATTTCTAAAATTTACCCCTCATTTTCTAATATTTACGTTAAACAGGTCATTCACTTAAAAATGGGGTGTATTTTCACGATATATTACACAAAAACAAGATTCGTACCACATATTTCCGAAATTTACCCCTCATTTTCTAATATTTACGTTAAACAGCTCATTTACTTAAAAATGGGGTGTATTTTCACGATATATAAAAATTCGTACAAATAATTACCACTAATATTTAGTTAACAGCTCATTTAGTTAAAAAATGGGGTGTATTTTCACGATATAATACACAAAAACAAGATTCGTACAACACATTTCTGAAATTAACCCCTGATTTTCTTATATTTGTTTTAAAATGGGGTGTATTATTTACGATATATTACACAAAAACAACATTTGTACCACAGTTTCCGAAATTTACCCCGTCATTTTCTAATATTTACGTTAAAGTTCATTTTAGTTAAAATGGGGTGTATTTCACGATATCGTACAAAAAATCTAAACATTTCCTCTGATTTTCTTATATTTGTTTTAAAATGGGGTGTATTATTACGATATAATACACAAAAACAACATTTGTACCATATATTTCCGAAATTTACCCTCTTTTCCTAATATATTTACGTTAAACAGGCCATTTAGTTAAAATGGGGTGTATTTTCACGATATTTTAAAAAACACAACATTCGTACAACATTTCTAAAATTACCCCTGATTTCTAATATTTCACGACTACTTTTCGTCTGTCGAGTCACAATTCGACACTAACTGGTTTTTGTGCAGATTCCTTAATTTACCTATAACTTGCTTCCCATTTCTGTGCAGTGCGTGTCACCAACTCACTCAGTCCCGACAATATATTGTTCTTAGAAAAATAGTGAAGTGAGAACTTTTAATACATAATGTTATACATTTTACATTTTACATAACAAATTTTATGCTTTATGAATAATGCCCACACTATGTTAATAATTAAATAAAACCATGCTTGTTTAAAGTAGTGTATATACAATTGTGGAATGATTCCGGAATGCTGACTTCACTGTTTTTTTTAATAAGATGGCTTTTCGTAAAAACAATAAATTATTTAGGTTGTTCTCCTTGATAATGTTCACAGAGTGAATTGGCACTTTATCTTTTGACATGAGGAGCTTATACATCAGATTCTCAATAGTGGCATCAAGCCAATATCCCCAAATTTTCTCGTTTTCCTCCATCTTAATATTAGCTATTTTTCCGGGGAAATAGAAGAGCCAATATGCATCATCTGAGTCTGTGTACACACGTAAAATATATCCCTCATGCTCACATGATGCTTTGTGATTTGCCTTCAATGCAATCATTGCGTCTGTTGTAAACCAGCTGCTGCATTTGTCAGATAACAACTCATACTCTTCATTCGAGAGCACCAGATTTGTCACCTCTACATCAGATTCCTCTATCTGACAATTTCCACTGAGTACTTGCTTAGCTTTTTCCTCATCAATCACTTTACAAATGGCAGTTTGTACCGGGTGGCGCAAAAAAAAGTTAACCTGTTTGATTGAGTATGACTTCAAAACTAAGTGGCCTGTTACTCTGAAATAACTTTCTTTAGATTCGTGAATGTCTAAATTAAAATTTGTTATATACCATGTGTATTTTGATACAGTATTCCCAGAGATATCGGCGTTTAACTTTTAATACGTGCTTTTGAAAAGTGCAAAAATGAGTAAAAAATGGCATATTAGCTAAATAAGAACAGATAATAAAGTTCGTTTTTAATTAAGGACACAACAACTAAGTACTATGCGTTCATTTTCTACCGTACAATTCAACGTCTATTCATTTTGAAAAGCATGCCCTCCAGCATTGATGCAACGTCTTGCTCGCGTTACCATGCATGGTGTCAAATGACCGTTGGATTATTTCCTGGTTGATGTTGCGGCATTCAGTAACAATTGCTGCACGAAGCTGTTCCAAAATTGTTCGGTTGCTGACCATGCGGCACGATTGATGATCCATCTGTCAAATACTTCTATTTAAAATTCTTTTCGAAGAAATTTAAGAAATTCCACTTTTCGAAAATGTATATTTAAATTGAAACCGCGATATCTCGGTCAAAACTGCATGTAAAACGTCATGCTATATATCAAAATTTAATTTAGACATTAGAGAATATAACAAACATAATTTTAATGTAATAGCTATTTTAATTTTGAAGTTATACTCAATCAAACAGGTTAACTTTTTTTTGCGCCACCCGGTAGTTCTTTATCTAGTATTCCAATTCCATCTTTAGCCATGTCACCACCTGATTCTGTGCTTTTTCCTCGATATGGAAAGCTATGCTCTCTTGACATCTCATTTTTTTTTTATTTTGTCTTCCCCATAATTGTTCGGCTTAGAGAATTCCACACCATCCGGAAGGCCAGTTACACTGAAACGTCCATTTAGATATGGCACACGGGATCCAGGTTCCCCACAGGCTTCACCTGTAACATGAGGCAAATTAGTAACAAGTCACACAGTCTGTTTGATGTTGTTTTCAACAATGTGTGAACAACCTCAAACTCATTGCAGTATACAAGCTGTTGTTTTAGGAGCTGAGGAAGTGTACAATTCCTCTGTCTGTCAAGAAACTGCCACTGGTGCCTGTCGTAGTTGTCATAATAATTTAATCCTACCACATCTTTTGCCAAACTCATTCTACCTAAGGTGCTTCCACCCTGTCCATATGCCTATGCTCAAGCTGGCCAGATAGTCAATCATTGTTGTTCATGTTTATTAACAATGTTATTGCAACAATTTTGTTGTTAACAGGCACAATGACTGAGATACCGTAGTGGCATCATGTACATCATTGGGTAATTGTTGTTGATACAGTAAACTAATTACTAACAATATTGCAGGCTGAAAAATACTCACTGTACTTCTTATTAAACAAGTCTCTGACATCACTGTTGGTGTACTTTTTTGTGTACTTTACTGTTTGCTGCATCTACATGTATAATTAATAAACATTCAAACAATTAATCAGGTTAACATGTATCATAAAGAGGGCAAAATGCTTTTAGATGGAATTCTTGGTGAACTATTTTTGTAAAATATAAAAATATGTAACACCGAGAAATGAGATAATTTTTAATACTCAATAAAACATTTTTTCTCAATATATTATGCATAAAAATGAGCAATAAAAATGACCTCATTTGCTGTTCTGTTTGCCTTCTCATCTCCAAATATAAACCTTCTCTAAATATACAGGTATTTTTGTTCTTTTATGTTAGGCCGGGGTATTATATTTATATTGTGATAACGATTCCCTCCTGGTTCATCAAGTGCAACAAGTTACTTATTGAAGAACTCAGTTGCAGAATTATTTTTGCTAATCAGACCTACTGTAGTGGCATTTTTACAAAATATTGCAATCATTCTTACCAAAAAAGTTCATAAACTTTAAAGGAATTGTTTCATTTGCCATCAGAAACTGTGCACCTTTTGCTGACCCATATTGATTGACAGTCCTAGTTTCAGAGTCATACATCACAACTGCTGTCTCACATCCAAGGCTTTCAAGATACATAAGCTATTCAATGAAGGATTTAATAAAATGTGAAAATCATAAAAACTGTCTGCTAAAAATATGTACTCTACAAAAATGATTTTTTTCACACCTGTTAAATATTTTGAACAAATGTTGACCACAAAATATTATTACTAAAGTGTGATTTGTTTGAGTTTTTTCAAGGTTTAATTAAACCTGTGACTGAAAAACATAAAAAAATACAAAAAAAATTGTTGAAAATTGTGGAAATATGGTATGTTCTATAGAAAATGTATGTATTATTGCAGTGGTTATATGTGGGGTTACAAAATATATCATTACCTCTTTAATAAGGTTTTTCCTGCTCTTTACAATTTGCTTTCGTTTTTCTTCTGACGTAAGCATTGTTGGTGCACTTTCACATTTCTTTGCCTCGTCTCGCCAAACACTTTTTTCATTGTCACTTAGAGATTCCACTTTGAAGCAACCAAGCTCATTTTCTCTGCCTTAGATTCAATTGACCTACATTCATGTAAAACAACATTATGATGGTTTATAGTCTAATTACAAATATCACCATAAAATAAATTAAAGAAATATGTAATTTTAAATATACAATTTTACCAATACTCAATTTACCAAAATGGAAGAAGCAGGCTCTCTCCATGTGAGAAAGCTCACCCACACACACAGTACACAACATAAAATAGGATCACCAAAATAAAGACTTTCAAATCATTCCATAGATAAACCCTCAGCTATGTGCACTGTGTATTATGGTAAACCCAATCAAATATCAGAACTTGTTAGTTGTATTTTCACAACTACAATATACAGTGAAAGCTGTTTTGTCTAGACTGTGAGAGGGATCATTGCAATTGTTTATATAATTACATTACCAACATTTTGTCCATGCATCACACAGAAATATATCCCTGCATAAACATGTTATACGTTCTTACTGCACAGGCCTATGTATTATACATGTTTACACTGTACTGTATATAATAATGTATTTCATACATGTATATTAGCCCCTATTCACATGCTCTCCCTTTTGATGTTTATATTCCTTGTACAAATTAGAACAAAAAATGCTTTATTTAAATTATGCACCAACTATTTAAAAACAATCAAGAGTGTCTTGGTTTGCTAAAAGCTCGAAAGTTCAATAAAGCACAATTTATGTCATGCAACATTGCTGAGCAGTTCTAAACATGTGGAATGGAGAAAGCAAGTTCAAGTTTACATTTATCCACCTCCAAGCTGGCTATAATAATTCCAATATACATTCTATATTTGAATGATTGTGCTTACCAGAGCCAAGGATTTTAGATGAAAACATGTTATAGCCCGATGTTACCCGCTTTGCAGGGTATTTGGCAGGCAGGGCTTCAGTTTGAACAGAATTACTAGTCTCTCCAATTTCTTTCCTTTTTCGTCTCATCCTTTCATTCCCAATCCACTTCTGCAATACAGTAAATGTTAGTGTATGTAATATGTTATATCAATCTGATTTATCAATATGTTTATACATCTCTACATAATATCCTTCAAAATAAAACTCAGCCTGATGAACCAAAACAGTGTAAATGTTAAATATTTAAATAAAATGCTATAATATACAATTATATAGTTTTACTCGAAATAATGAGAACCACAGAACCAGTAAGGCAGTTCCTTCACCTTATATTAAATATTATATTGTAATAGATTATAATATAATATCAACAAGCCACACAAACATTTCTGTCCATTGACACAACAAAGAATAAATATAAACTATATGTTGATTGTTCCCACCGGCAGTATTCATTGTTTGCCAAAAATATTATATTCCTGAGAAGGGACTGCTGGACGATATAGCTCACTTGTATATTTATATGTCACTGTCAGCCATAAATACGTATTTAGAATTTTAGTAATGAATGATAAATATACGTGCGTGTGATATGGAAATGATATGGAAATAATGTCTACGAATTATATTTATATATGCAAATGTATTTGCAAATATCAGTATGAAATAGAAACGATATTCATCGAATCTTCATTTTGTCGATAAGAACTGACCGGTTTGGTAGGCAGCAAGCTAAACATTTATCCCGAGACTCAGTAATACTGATTCACTGATTTCGTGCAATAAAAAAGAGTTAAAGTGAAACGTTACCTTAACTGTTTGATAGCTTACTCCTACCACGTCAGCAGCACGGGCTATTCTTTCCTGCATTTGTTTAGAAGTTGTTTTCATGCCATCCTCATAAAACCTCCTCAGGAGAGACTTTTGCTCATCGCTTAAAACATCATAACCTGCTCTATCAGTAGCCATATTGGCGATAGAACAGCGCAATATAAGGCAAGCAGCCACCTTAAATAAATCGGCCGTCAGGTTGTTTAGGTGATCACCTCTGTCACATATATCCGACGTTCTAAAATTTAGAACTCTCGCTATATGTGATTTAGAACACGAGGAACGGGTATGGGGCGCCAAATGTGACATAAAGATCAACCAAATTATATAGAACAGCGGTAGTATTTGTAAGTTTGAAAAAAATATTTAAAGATGATGTAAAGTCCGTTCTGAGCATATATTCTGCGCATAACAATGTTTGTTTACGTTGGTTATATAATCTTTACATGAACGTATGCGTCGTTATAATTTTCTTATTTTCTTCTCGCTCGACCGGCTGTAATCTGTGATGAATATGCTTATTTTACATCATATTTTGAAGAGGATATTGTTATATTTTGAAGAAAATATCAAGCGAAGCTTGTAAATAAACCGGCCGTTATTTAAAACGTTATATATTTGTAATTGTAGGACAAGCGAGAAGGTACCGTAGCGTCAACCTCGTACCCAGGGTCTTTTCTCTGTGCTCACTCTGGGGGGAACACCCGCTGAGAAAAGACCCTGGTATTGTTTGGTCACGTGTCTCCCAGATTCTGGGAGGTTACAAAAAAATTTTACAAGGGGCGGGTGGCTGAGTATTATTATGATTTGAGCGAACTTTTGTTCGAAGTTTCGAACTGCGAGTATAATGCGAGTTGAGTAATACGGAGATATGAACTCTGTTATATTTGCATTATTAAGCTGTGTATCGCGGCAACATATCAAGTTTCATATCAAATTTCATAAGCAGAAGCACATGTTTCGGGTGACAAAAGCCAAAAAGTCTTTTTTCCCGATGGCTTCGAAGGAAACACCGAAAAAAATTTATCGAGCAAGAAATTCTTCGATTGACCCGTTGTCCTGTAGACTTTGTCGATCTATTGGTGACGCGAATCATCGCAAAAATTTATTTAGTACACTAAACGAAGAATTATTGAGGACTGTAGAGCAATTGTGCGGCCATCCGTTGTTGCGAGATCCAAGTTTGCCTCATCTGTTGTGTCGACCATGCGAGCGCAGACTAAACACATTAAAGAATTTCGAGAAGTTGTAAGAAAAACACAGAACGAATTTCGCCAGCAACAACCTTGTGAAACAAGAGTGAAACGGTGCCTAGAAGCCTCACCGTCGGCATCCCAACCACCAAGAACTCGTTTGCACACATCTGGGCCTTCAGCAAGAACTTCGCTCAATTTTGGGGTACAAGTTCCATCTTCTGATAAAGAGGTATTACATGTTGTTAAAGTTGGTCGTGTATATTTACATAAAGCTGCCTCTCAAATTTACATATTGCGTCTTATTAATAATTCATATAAAATATAAAGAAAACATTGATATAGCTTTGAAATCTTGTGTTATATTACTACAAATGCCGCGAAAAAAAAATATTGTATGTTTGAACGTGTCGCTATTTAGTAAAATACCGCGTTTGATTTGTTATAGAATATAACTGCGTTGGATGAAATATTAAACGAGGCGAACAGAGAACTGATTAATATTGCCCGTAAAGACGAGCCATCCGTGCTAAGGAATGGAACATACGCAGGATTAAGTCAGTCAAACTGGATGACAGAAGTGGTAAATGAGCTCTCGACGAGGTGTCCTAATGTTGCAAAAATATTGTCAAGTTTGCTCGATTGTTCTATTTTGGATGCAGGAAATAAACTACCGCCAATTTCCCTAATTTACGGCATTATCATGTTTGTGAGATGTCATCACTTGAGCCGCATTCAAAGAATCAACACCATTCTTCTGACAGAAGGGAAAGCAACTAAAAAGGTATGTTCTTTTAAATCCATATTTATAATTTGAAGTTTGTTTGATTAATAGTTAGCACAATAGTCAATACCGCAAGGTTTTTAACTTTTTGTAGGTTTGATTATTTAGATCTTTGAATTTCTAACTGTGCTGTTACTATTAAAACATAGACAAATTGTCATGCATAATGCATTCCTTTTATTCAGCTTATGTTCACAATAGAAGTGATTATTATGAATGCTATTTGTTATTACTGTTGTGTTAATCAAGCTACAACTATCATACTTATATTGGTAAACCTTGTATTATTTTGATGTTTATCCTCTGAAACTTTGAAAAAATGCATTTGAATTTTAGCTGAAATTTTTTTAATTACCAGGTAGTGAAAATATTTATTACGATTCATGCCATCAGGGATACATATTTATACATGTTAATCTACTTACTTTTAGTTGATTGATCGATTCAACAAATATGGGCTCTGTTTGAGTTTTTCTAACAAATATGTTGTGCTTGACGATATTGGGAAACATTTTTTGGATCGTGCTGTCGAGTTGGTCAAATCTGGGATGAAATTTGTCTATGTGGTTGATAACATAGATTGGGAAGAGAAAGTGCATGACATGAGAGCAGACCATCAAAACAAGAGTGTGCATGCATGTGCAACTAGCATGGTGTTCAACAGAGTGCCAAGTGACCACTTACCTGACAATGGTCCACAGAAAGATATCGCAACTTGCAATTTTCGTGAAATTGTTTCATTGTCAGATGCAGAAATGACAACAATTCGGAATCGGTATAAAGTATTCATTGCGAGAATCCTGGTTCAAAAGTTCACTGAACTATTTGGTTTAAAGTCCTACATTCCAGAGGATCTTGTACTTCATGAAAATTCTGAGAAGACAGCTTTGAAATCCGAAATTATGACCCTTCCAGTTCTCATGAAGGATGAAAAAAAGTACAGTGACTGTGTGGATGTTTTGGATCAATTGGAGCAATGGACAGAGGATGTGTGCAAAGCTAGTGGCATATACAACTTTGATCAATCTCCATCTACAGCTTCCCATCCTATTGTTCAGGTGCCCACACGCCCAGATCAACCACGATCACATATCCCACCAGTTGGTTCCCAAACTGATCCTTTAGAAGGTGTGAAAATTCCCTGTTTTGGTGATGAGTTGACCCGAGTAAGGTTTGCTGGAGCACGAGATCTTCGCTCTGGATGCCATACACCCAAACAACGACTGGATCATTTGTACCCGTATCGCATTGTTGGATGGCATGCTAAAAGAAGTTTCTTAAAGGTAAATTCCTGGTCATGGATATGATTTTCCTGTTACAAAATTGTGTTATGTTACTCTTTTATATCATTGACACTACCAGCAGTTGTTTATAATCCTGAAAGGTTTTAAAATACATTTTGAACAAATTTATTTGTTTTTGTTTCAACCTAACATATAAAAACCTCGAAAAAAGCAATCTCAGGTTTTTCAGGAAGAATTAACTAAAGCTAGATTTGATTTTTCTGGTTGCATGAAGACATCATGTCTTATGATTGATTTATGACGAATTTTTCAAAAAAATAGGGTCCAATATTGGATCTTGTTACCACACCTACTACCTGTTACAATACTATTACATTGATATCTTGCATCTTGCCCTAATACTACATAGAACATAAAGTTAAATAAAACTTGCATTATATTTGTAGTCTGTCTTCAAAAGACTCTACAAGAACTCTGGAAGAGAAGCAGGTACCATTAGATACTTCCGAGAGGTACTCAACAGGAGAAATGTTACAGTCGATATAAAACATTATGAAGACTGTGAGCAGCTGTTCATGAGTGTTGGCAATTGCTATCTTGTTGAAGCATTGCTAGAGTTCTTCAAGATGGAAAATGTAAACGATTCTCCAAAGGAAAATAATCCATTGCCTGATCAAGAGGATTTGAGTGAAGAAGAAAAAAAAACCCACCTAATGACTGTCTTAGACAAGTTCTTGGATGAGTATGTTTTCCAAGACACTTCATGCAGCGATGTTGACAGTTTAGAGGAAAATATCTCAGACAACAACTCATCAGATGGCATTTTTAATTATTCTGTCAATCTTCTTCGATCCTTCATGGTTCTATTTGATTGCAAAGATGCAGTGGCATATGGGAATGGAGAACATTTGGCATTAATCCAGAAACAGATGTTGTATTACTTCTCATCTGTTTCTGGATTTAATGTATATGCAATTGAAATGCTAGTTACCACCATCCAGAATGAAGTTTTACTCTCACCTGCTGAGTCACATCTGTGTAAATGGGCTGCACTAGTCAACTGGAAAGGAGGTGGTGGTAAAAACATTGAAATAGACCTGTTGCAAGAGAACCGGAACAGGGACATGAAGGGGCTAATTAGTTTGATGGGAGCAAACAAGACAGAGAAGGCCATCGAAAGGATGAGCAAGGCAGCTGGAGGAATCCGTAAGATTGTAGATGTTTTTGAAAACCAAGCTTCCATTAAACAAAAATCATCAGCTCACTCGCACAAGTCCTCATTGGAAGATGAAAAAAAAGTTCTTGCTGATTTGCGCAAATTGAAGCCATTTTCGTATGTTCAAGGAAGATCACATACAACATTTGCTGGAATTTCATCAAACCCACTTTGTGCTTTTGATGAAGAAAAGTTTCTGAATGGTTGAAAAGACATCAAAAGAACATTGCATTACATTTCTGTTGTTAGTGACTTAGATTCTGACAGAGAAGAAACTGATGAACCAGAAGAAAATCAGAACTCTTAAAAGGTAGAACTCAGAACACTTTATTTATATATTATATATATATATATATATATATATATATATATATATATATATATATATATATATATATTTATAAATATTGTATATATTGTATAGTATTGTATATAGAGTATAGTATTGTATATAGAACCCATGTTTTTATGTTAACAAAAATATAATAGTTTTTTTTGTACACTAGAATAATAATAATTGTATAATTACTATTAATTACTATTAATAATTTCTACAGTATTAGCAATATAAACTACATGTATTGGTGAAAATAAAGTTGCCATTGGGTAATTAAAAAAACAATGCAATAGACACTGCAAAATTGGTTAACAATTTTATTCAATGTTTCAACTAGGTTTCAGTCATCATCAGGCAACTGTAAGTTAGTAAAAAAACCATATGTTAACCATCTTTGGAGAGTCTCTTGTTTTGTTCTTAATGCATTGGTAAACTGTATGTAGTTTAGTGTTCCTTTCTTAATCAATATGTACATTATGTTTCACAGCACTACATATGTTATTTATATTTGTTCTTAAATAGGATCTATGAAGTGCAACAATCACATTCTTCACCACAACACTACAACAGAAGTGTTTGGGAGAAAGTGGTTTAATGTACCTTTCATCTGTGTCCATTGATTTCAGCAACATATATCTGAGACATGTGCCTCTGTTTTGACAATAAACTCGAATATCTTCTTGCATCCCCGGTTTGTTTTTTGCAACATCCCGATTATTGTAATATAGGACTGCAGTTGCATGGTTTCCATCTCTCCCAGCTCTTCCAGTTTCCTGAACATACGCTTGTATTGTGTATGGTGGAGTGATATGCACAACACTTCTGATGCCTTTGATATCAACACCCATCCCCAAGGCTACTGTTGCAAATACAACCCTGATTGTGCTTCCTGTAGCACATGTCAACTGCTTCAAGACTTCATCCTTCATCTCCTTAGTTTGAGGCGAATGAAACTGTGCAAATAATCTGTTTTCAGGAATTGGTCTGCCTCCCTTGGGATAATATTGATCACATCCCAGAACAAATTCAAACAGTTTATATGCAAACCCGCACCACTTCAAGGGGATGTAGATTATTGTCAAAGGATAGCACATCTGCTGTTTTTTCAAACCTTCAGCTATAGGAGTAAGGATTTCTGTGAGAGAATCAATATCTGGTCCAGTTCTGAAATGCTTTTTGTATGTTATGTTCATGCGATCAGGATTGCCAATGATTTCCACACATGATTTTAAGCCCAGGGATTTTTTGATACAATCCCTATCATATCGGTTTGCTGTTGCAGTCATGGCTATGACAGGTACATTTGAAAATGTGGCACACAAGGCACCCAGATTTCCATAATCCACTCTGAAATCTTTACCCCTGATATAAATATAAAACACATTGAAATTATAAATATATACTATACACTTGAAATTGCAAGACTTTTTTTATAGGAGGAAAAGTTGTGTAATATATACAATGTATTTTATGTAATAAAACACTTACCATTCTAAAATGCAATGGGACTCATCAACAACAATAGCACAAACGTTCTTTTGATACACAATGCTTCGCATCAATCTTCGTCCATATAAACAGGAAACAAGCGACTCAGGGTGTGCAAATACAATATTATAATATCCTTCTTCAAGTTTTATTTTGTCATTAAGAGGAAAGTCACAAACAACATCAGATCTAATGCCATCATCTTTGTCTTCCGCATCCTCAGAGTCTTCTGCTGCTACGTTCCTAACGTCGAGGACTGATGCACGAATTATACCCGCATTTAATCGTGAAATCTGGTCTTTCATCAGAGCATTTAAAGGCGACACGACGACGATTATAGAATCAATGTGTTCGGTGTATTTGGCAACACCGTTCTTAGCCGCAAATAACAGAGCAGGAAGCAAGTAAAAAATCAATGATTTACCGTATCCAGTTGGTAAAACCGCAAGAACATCCGAATTAAAAAATACCTTTTCTAAGCAAATCACCTGTTTTGGCTTTAACATGAATTCGCTATACAAACTATTTTGTATTGCAAATTGCAAACACGAAAGGAAAAGCCCGCATTTAGAGTTTGAAAACATGGCGACAATACATATACATTAACTAACTAGTGTGAAGCTACCACAGGATTCACCACAGGATTCGCTCTTCCTCCGAGAACAACAAAATCGAACATATGCGAAGCTAGCACGATATTCAACCGCACTAAATTCGATACGTAAACACAATATATTATTTTTTATTTTGCCGTTAAAAACAGGCAGTATATCAATGAAACTGGTATCGATAGAAAGCTTACATAACACAGATTCCGAATATTTAATTTTTATCCTGGCCCAAATTCGTTGTCGAATCTTACAGCTCCTCAAACGCAGACGTCTGCCAGCCTGAGATTCGAAATCGCATATAATGATGTACGTTAAATGCGCGTTGAAATACGAGCGAAGTAAACACAAAAAAACGGCTTCAAAATTTATGAAACCGGTATCGATAGAAAGCTTACATAACACAGATTCCGAATATGTAATTTTTATCCTGGCCCAAATTCGTTGTCGAATCTTACAGCTCCTGAAACGCAGACGTCTGCCAGCCTGAGATTCGAAATCGCATATAATGATGTACGTTAAATGCGCGTTGAAATACGAGCGAAGTAAACACCAAAAAACGGCTTCAAAATTTATGAAACTGGTATCGATAGAAAGCTTACATAACACAGATTCCGAATATGTAATTTTTATCCTGGCCCAAATTCGTCGTCGAATCTTACAGCTCCTGAAACGCAGACGTCTGCCAGCCTGAGATTCGAAATCGCATATAATGATGTACGTTAAATGCGCGTTGAAATACGAGCGAAGTAAACACCAAAAAACGGCTTCAAAATTTATGAAACTGGTATCGATAGAAAGCTTACATAACACAGATTCCGAATATGTAATTTTTATCCTGGCCCAAATTCGTCGTCGAATCTTACAGCTCCTGAAACGCAGACGTCTGCCAGCCTGAGATTCGAAATCGCATATAATGATGTACGTTAAATGCGCGTTGAAATACGAGCGAAGTAAACACCAAAAAACGGCTTCAAAATTTATGAAACTGGTATCGATAGAAAGCTTACATAACACAGATTCCGAATATGTAATTTTTATCCTGGCCCAAATTCGTCCTCGAATGTTACAGCTCCTGAAACGCAGACGTCTGCCAGCCTGAGATTCGAAATCGCATATAATGATGTACGTTAAATGCGCGTTGACATTCGTCCTCACATTCATCCTGATATTCATCCTAAGATTCATCCTAAGATTCATCCTGACATTCAAATCGCAAAATCGTTAAAAACAGCTAAATTCACTGTTTGCGGCTAAAATAACACTTTAGCAATAACGTGTAACGTTTTGCCGACATAATAAACCCCAAATACTTGTGTTATCTACCATAAAAGCTGAAAATTATAGCTGCAAAATACGACGAACTTACAGGTAAGTATCTTCCTAAATATTTCATCATTTTCACGTAAAACACAACAAAGAGATTCCCCAATCTTTCATTTACGTGTACGTAAAATTTCAGATCCGGCACACCTTTATTTAAGAAGAAATTCAAAAAATAGTAGAGGTCGTCAAAGCCGTCAAAATTGAAACGGAAATTGAAATTATCATACTGTCACAATATTCAAACCCAATTTTCCATCACACTATTCGTCATACATACACCAAATGCTATTCCACGCTATCGTCGATTTTCTCAAAGACTACGCTTGACCCAAAGCCGAAAGATACTGTATTTAGTACTGTTTTTACGTAGATTTTAAATATAATAGTTTCCAGAGTGGCACAATAGACCTTTATTTCAAAACTTTCATGTATAGTATCCACGGCGTGCGCTATTGAATGAAATTAATTATGCTATCCTCACATTCGAAGTTCCGCGGATTTTCTAAAAAACTACGCTTGTGCCAAAGTCGAGAGATATTGTATTTAGGACTATTTTTATGTACATTTTAAATATAAAAGTTTCCCGTGCGGAGCAAAAAAAATTTATTTCAAAAAAATGTGTTCGTCTCTCTCCCCTATATACTCATTAAAATTGCTGACTCAGCTATCCTCACTTTCAAGGTTTCGCCGATTTTCTCAAAAACTACGCTTGTGCCAAAGTCGAGAGATATTGTATTTAGTACTATTTTTTACGTAGATTTTAAATATAAAAGTTTCCCGAGTGGCACAAAAGACTTTCATTTCAAAAACATCTGTTCATCTCTCTCCCCTATATACTCATAAAAATTGCTGACTCAGCTATCCTCACATTCGAGGTTTCGCCGAATTTCTCAAAAACTACGCTTGTGCCAAAGTCGAGAGATATTGTATTTAGTACTATTTTTTATGTACATTTTAAATATAAAAGTTTCCCGAGTGGCACAAAAGACTTTCATTTCAAAAATCTCATGTCTAGTACCCACGGCGTGCGCTTTAATGAAATTAATTATGCTATCCTCACATTCGAGGTTTCCCGGATTTTCTTAAAAACTACGCTTGTGCCAAAGTCCAGAGATATTGTATTTAGAACTATTTTTTATGTAGATTTTAAATATAAAAGTTTCCCGAGTGGCACAAGAGACCTTCATTTCAAAAACATCTGTTCATCTCTCTCCCCTATATACTCATTAAAATTGCTGACTCAGCTATCCTCACATTCGAGGTTTCGCCGATTTTCTCAAAAAACTACGCTTGTGCCAAAGTCGAGAGATATTGTATTTAGTACTATTTTTTATGTAGATTTTAAATATAAAAGTTTCCCGAGTGGCACAAAAGACTTTCATTTCAAAAACATCTGTTCATCTCTCTCCCCTATATACTCATTAAAATTGCTGACTCAGCTATCCTCACATTCGAGGTTTCGCGGATTTTCTAAAAAACTACGCTTGTGCCAAAGTCCAGAGATATTGTATTTAGAACTATTTTTTATGTAGATTTTAAATATAAAAGTTTCCCGAGTGGCACAAGAGACCTTCATTTCAAAAACATCTGTTCATCTCTCTCCCCTATATACTCATTAAAATTGCTGACTCAGCTATCCTCACATTCGAGGTTTCGCCGATTTTCTCAAAAACTACGCTTGTGCCAAAGTCGAGAGATATTGTATTTAGTACTATTTTTTATGTAGATTTTAAATATAAAAGTTTCCCGAGTGGCACAAAAGACTTTCATTTCAAAAATCTCATGTCTAGTACCCACGGCGTGCGCTTTAATGAAATTTATGCTATCCTCACATTCAAGGTTTCCCGGATTTTCTTAAAAACTACGCTTGTGCCAAAGTCGAGAAATATTGTATTTTGGACTATTTTTTATGTAGATTTTAAAAATTAAAGTTTCCCGAGTGGCACAAAAGACTTTCATTTCAAAAATCTCATGTCTAGTACCCACGGCGTGCGCTTTAATGAAATTAATTATGCTATCCTCACATTCGAGGTTTCCCGGATTTTCTTAAAAACTACGCTTGTGCCAAAGTTGAGATATATATTTAGAACTATTTTTTATGTAGATTTTAAATATAAAAGTTTCCCGAGTGGCACAAGAGACCTTCATTTCAAAAACTCTGTTCATCTCTCTCCCCTATATACTCATTAAAATTGCTGACTCAGCTATCCTCACATTCGAGGTTTCGCCGATTTTCTCAAAAACTACGCTTGTGCCAAAGTCGAGAGATATTGTATTTAGTACTATTTTTTATGTAGATTTTAAATATAAAAGTTTCCCGAGTGGCACAAAAGACTTTCATTTCAAAAATCTCATGTCTAGTACCCACGGCGTGCGCTTTAATGAAATTAATTATGCTATCCTCACATTCGAGGTTTCCCGGATTTTCTTAAAAACTACGCTTGTGCCAAAGTCGAGAGATATTGTATTTAGTACTATTTTTTATGTAGATTTTAAATATAAAAGTTTCCCGAGTGGCACAAAAGACTTTCATTTCAAAAATCTCATGTCTAGTACCCACGGCGTGCGCTTTAATGAAATTAATTATGCTATCCTCACATTCGAGGTTTCGCGGATTTTCTAAAAAACTACGCTTGTGCCAAAGTCCAGAGATATTGTATTTAGAACTATTTTTTATGTAGATTTTAAATATAAAAGTTTCCCGAGTGGCACAAGAGACCTTCATTTCAAAAACATCTGTTCATCTCTCTCCCCTATATACTCATTAAAATTGCTGACTCAGCTATCCTCACATTCGAGGTTTCGCCGATTTTCTCAAAAACTACGCTTGTGCCAAAGTCGAGAGATATTGTATTTAGTACTATTTTTTATGTAGATTTTAAATATAAAAGTTTCCCGAGTGGCACAAAAGACTTTCATTTCAAAAACATCTGTTCATCTCTCTCCCCTATATACTCATTAAAATTGCTGACTCAGCTATCCTCACATTCGAGGTTTCCCGGATTTTCTTAAAAACTACGCTTGTGCCAAAGTCCAGAGATATTGTATTTAGTACTATTTTTTATGTAGATTTTAAATATAAAAGTTTCCCGAGTGGCACAAAAGACTTTCATTTCAAAAATCTCATGTCTAGTACCCACGGCGTGCGCTTTAATGAAATTAATTATGCTATCCTCACATTCGAGGTTTCGCGGATTTTCTAAAAACTACGCTTGTGCCAAAGTCCAGAGATAATTGTATTTAGAACTATTTTTTATGTAGATTTTAAATATAAGTTTCCCGAGTGGCACAAGAGACCTTCATTTCAAAACATCTGTTCATCTCTCTCCCCTATATACTCATAAAATTGCTGACTCAGCTATCCTCACATTCGAGGTTTCGCCGATTTTCTAAAAACTACGCTTGTGCCAAAGTCGAGAGATATTGTATTTAGTACTATTTTTTATGTAGATTTTAAATATAAAAGTTTCCCGAGTGGCACAAAAGACTTTCATTTCAAAAACATCTGTTCATCTCTCTCCCCTATATACTCATTAAAATTGCTGACTCAGCTATCCTCACATTCGAGGTTTCCCGGATTTTCTTAAAAACTACGCTTGTGCCAAAGTCCAGAGATATTGTATTTAGTACTATTTTTTATGTAGATTTTAAATATAAAAGTTTCCCGAGTGGCACAAAAGACTTTCATTTCAAAAATCTCATGTCTAGTACCCACGGCGTGCGCTTTAATGAAATTTAGCTATCCTCACATTCAAGGTTTCCGGATTTTCTTAAAAACTACGCTTGTGCCAAAGTCGAGAATATTGTATTTGGACTATTTTTTATGTAGATTTTAAAATAAAAGTTTCCCGAGTGGCACAAAAGACTTTCATTTCAAAAATCTCATGTCTAGTACCC